TTTTATTTTCCCGTTCTTTACAATTTAATATTTCAGATAAGGTAATTAACACAACCTGAGTCTTCTCGCCAGAAGTAGCCAGTTGATTTTCCAAGCCGGTTGCTTGCCAGAAGAGGGCCGATGGGTAAAATGTCTGGATATGAGGCAAATGTTCCTGACTCCAACCAATTTGATGAGTTGCAGATCAGCCTTTCTGCCAATTTTGTTGGCTCTATAATTTTTGTCAAGAATTTGAAGATGAGTTTTCGTTGCACTTCATCAAGCATACAGTTCCAAATGAAATCAGTTGTTTTTATGAAAGGCATTGTTGGCGAAAGTTGAATACTCTGCTTTTTCATGGGTTGTCCTGAAAAATTCAGCATTGTATTAGTATAAAAATAAGAAAAGAAATCACAGGATCTCTCCAATGAAAAGAACAAGAAAATAATAAATCCATATCCAGAATGTGAGCCTATTTACATATGAACTATGTGGGTAGTCTCTGAGAAATATCAAAAATCAAAATGAAGGTAGTGTGGTTATGTTCCCATTTCAATGGTGGATCGGGTATTCATGTTCTATATGGTGAAGTCCCTTCTGTCAGCAGCAAACCTTTTTCTTTGGTGATGGTTCCAAGTTATCCCAATGCCTGCAAACAAAAGCCGGGGCTAATTCCCTTCTTTTCTCTCCGGCTTGAAATTTAGTTCTTCGAGTAAAATCATCCTTAGAGAGAAGCCATGTGGTAGAATATCTACAAAGGATGCAGGGATACAAGTCGTAAGATTTGTTAGTATTGGGAGAACGCGAGGTGTAATATGCTGAGTGGTCCATTTTGGACGAGGTACTGCATGGGGTCGTATCTAAAAAAATGTTGGTCTGGCCTTGACCATAGCAGGTCCGCTTATGCAATTGCCTCCCCAGTGGTGACAATTGTGTTTTTTTGCAAATGGGCGATGGATCCACGGCTTTGTAAACTCAAACGGCTTGCTGGACATGGTTTGCAGATGGCCATTTAGATCTCCTGCTGGTAAAAAGAGAACTGGAGAAGGAGTGCAGGAAAGAGAAAGTGTGAGGGAGAATGAAAGACAGAGAGATGGTGGTCAAGCTCGACGGCTCCTGGCCAGGCGAGCAGCTAATTATGTTGTCGTTTGCATTGGTTTTCCGCCAGTGAAGTGGCCAAACTCCTCGTGGCCCATAATTTGAATGGCGGATGCTTGAATTGGTTAATAATCATGGTTAGCTAAAAATCGCGTACCATCACGAAGATAACTATAATTCTATTCAAGAGAAGGATATACCAGGAAAAATGTAAATTGGAAAAAAAACAGAGAACCAAGAACAGGAAGAAAGAGAGATTCCACTACTATGAGAAGATTTGTAATATATTTTATCTCAAACCCCGAGCATACCCACAAGACACATATTAGGGGACAGCAACAGAGTATATCCATACTGATGTTCTTCACAAAGTGCGTATGATAAATGAAATTTCAAAGGATTTTCAAGTCTCCATATATTAACAAAGATGTTGATTAACTTTTCTCTTTGACATGGACAAACAAACCCACCTCTACGAATATGAGACAGAGAAGTTCGAATCCTTAAACCAGGACAAAAGTAAAAGTTTAAACAAATCTCTCAGTGAAACTCCTACTGTTGTTTTGGAGAATACACAAAATTAGACGAAATGGTGACCTACTTGAAGTGGAAATACAAAAGTATGACAGGATTTATCATTACGTATGCTTTAAACTGTACTAACCATTACTATCTAGGATTCCATCTTCAACAAGACTCGGAATACTGAAAACCAGTGCCAATAAAGCTGCGGCTGCTGGCCAAAAAGCTGCTTTTTTTATTCCCATTTCCTCCGCAACCTCCAGAGCCCATGCCATGGTGGCATCAGCAATTACACAGCTGACTTTATCACTTTCGGAACCATTTATCCGCTCAATGAGAGCCATAAGCTCACCCGGCATGACATCAAAAGTTGATCCCCACAACTTCGTGCCATCACTTCTGTCATCAGAGGGTTTTAACCCGTCAGGTAACGAAACCATTTGTACGAGTTCTGGAAAACTGTCTGTCTCCGACAATGCTTTCGTAACTCGTTCATAATTGAACTCTGAGTTGACAAACGTGACCTTGAAATCGTGTCTGGCTAAATTGAGTGCAAGCTCCATAGCGGGAATCACATGGCCTTGTGCTGGAAATGGTATAATCAAAATATGAGGGTTTCTCATTGTTTTTTCCATTTTTTCTTCTCCCTCGAATGTTAATGATTCTCAATCGTATTTGAGCTCGTTGACAGCCTTGTGGATAACGCCAGTTTCAATTATGGAATATGCTTGTCCACACACTCATATATGCCAAAATCTGGCAAGTGATGTTAAATGGTGTTAAAGAAATTAATTACTATGATGGATGCCACGTGATAGAATGTCAAATTTAATATAAAAGAAAATACATATGTACCATAATTATTGGATTGTCTCTGTTTTTTGTCAAATGTGGTGTGAAATTTTGCCACACATGATTTCTCTAAACCATGTGTTATCCGTGTACGCTTTAATGAGATGTACATGCTAGACCAACTAGACACTGAATTGTCCTTGTCTTCACCTAGCAAATTAATTATTCTTGTCCATGTTTACAAGGAATATTCAAAAAAATTGAAAAAATATATTTGACAATGATGCAAGCGGATATGTTCAGCCACTCAACGATTTTAGAATTCGACTAATAATATTACTTTTTAAAGCAGAAATGAGCCACTTAGTTGAACTCGTGGGGAAAGCCCTTGAGCCCTCTAGTTTTGTGCCCACATTCCATCATTTTGAGCTTGTCTTCGTTTAAAATAACAAGTTATTGCTTCTTATTTGTCTTTAAAAGTTATAATAGGGTTCATTGTAACTTATTTGTTTCATGAATAAAATTTGAGTTTTCCCAATTATCCAAATTATTCATATTCATAGGGAATTAATGAATATGTTACAATCAAATAGTTGATATTCAATTGAATCGATAAGTATTTAGAATATCAATCATCTTCCGCATCTTTCTGCTACATTAGTCAACTCCAGTTATATTTTAGATAAAGTCACATGGGCTTTAAAATAAGTCAGTCTAATGTTTAAGCATCGATGGATTTGGTTTATAAGATAGTTTGACTAACTTGTAAGCCCAACCAAACAATCCAATAACTACATATTAAGGATTCTCACTATTGCGTTGGACTTGATACCATGTTATGCTTATCATTGTAACATACCAACGAAATAGTCTAATTAATCTCTGAGCAAAAGTGTTAGAAATTGGGTAGAAATTTATATATTTTATGTCAATACTATATATAGTTGTCTACGTTGCTATTAGGTAGGTTTGGAGTGTAGAAGGGTCGAAGCTCGTAAGCATTTCGTCTCAAAATTATATATAGGATTCTACAATGCTGTCGGATAGATTTGGAATGTTAGATGGAAAGACACTATTATTTGTCTATGTAACCTTCGGATAGATTTGGAATGAGGAAAGACCAAACGGTAAACCGCAACCGATCGGCTGCTGCTGCAGATTTCAATGCTAGTTACTCCGCTTCCAATGCCGCCCATCTTAGGCTTTCATTAGCATGGAAGATCAGCCAAAAGATTCGATCACTTTCTAATCCATATTTCTTGATATGATCAATATCCCTCTTCCACTACAGAACAACTTTATCTTATAAAATTTGTCACTCCCTCTCACTATTTTAGTTATTTTAGAATT